AATTGGGATTTGGACCTTCTGCGCTTTGAATGAGATCGGGGCCTGGGAGAACTGAGACTTGACCTTGGTGGTCCTGCAGGGTGGGGACCGGAGCAGCCTTGAAGATGGTGTGGATGGGCTCCGAGCCCAGCTGTGGCCCCCCACGGATGTTTACAAAGGATGATGGAATGAGTGTCTCCATGGGAAGAAGGTGAAGGGAGTGGAAGAGCCCTGGGCAGAGATGGTGTAGCCTGTGGGGTGGAGGAGGGCCAGTGCAGCCCAGACGGACAGGAGCTACAGGAGCAGAAGGTCACAGAACAGAGGTCAAGGTCAAACTCGAAGCTAATTTCTTTCTTAATATGATCTACTACACTTGAAAGATTTTTTTTTTTAAACATTGGACTGGCTAGGATTAAATTTCACTGCCCACCTGATGGCCTGGAGACAGCATATTGACTCCACCAGCATTTACTGAGCAACGTGCCAGGTTCTGGGCAGTACCAGGGTGGGCCCAGGGCCCTGCCTTTCTAGCAGACAGGACAGCACGGGCAGGGCCATCTCCAGGGGTCTGACTTTTCAGCCCCTTAGACCACTGTGCCCTGGGTCATCTAGGGTGAGCTGTGAGACTGGAGAACCCACATCCACCTGTATCGGCAACACTCAAGTCCAGCTGCGCGTTGCCAGGGAGGCCAGCGATCCCATAGCATCTTCACCCCACAGCGACCCTTCACCCCTTGGCGAAGGCTGGTCCTGCAGGAGGGTTGGGCCTTATTTCCCAGCTCCAGTCTTGCTCCCTCCATCTTGTTTTCCTCCTAAGATCCTTTGTTCACTTTCTCAACTGAGATTTCTGGTCGACTTCTTCAAAGGGATCAATTCAACTGTTTGTTAAATTATAAATAATAACACTGCATTGAAGCAGAACTTCTTTCTTTCTTTTGAAAAAAGTGATGGTTCTGTTTGCCCTGATCACTAAATTGCAAGTGGTTACTTTCATTATAATGGTTATTTCTGATTCCATGGACCATAGCACTAGTCAACTCCGTCCTTTGAAAAATAAGTTGATTGGATATTTTTCAATAGTAGGTGGGAGGCAAGAAGTATTCCTGCATTTTGTGTTATGTTCAATTTCATTATATAAAATTTAGTGCAGTAAACTTTATATTACATAATTAAAATACATATAAAACATTAAAGGAACACAGCAATGCATATACTTATTCAATTACCAAATAAGCTCACACCTGAGTATTTTTATTTAATTGAATTTTTGAAAACATCTCATGCTGCCTCCCACATCTAAGATGTGTGAGAGCCTATTGTATAGTCAAAGCTATGGTTTTTCCACTAGTCATGTATGGATGTGAGAGTTGGACCGTAAAGAAGTCTGAGTACCAAAAAATTGATGCTTTTGAACTGTGGTGCTGGAGAAGACTCTTGAGAGTCCCTTGGACTGCAAGGAGATCAAACCAGTCAGTCCTAAATGAAATCAGTCCTGAATATTCATTGGAAGGACTGATGTTGACGCTAAAGCTCCAATACTCTGGCCACCTGATGCGAAGAGCCGACTCATTAGAAAAGACCCTGATGCCGGGAAAGATTGAGGGCAGGAGGAGAAGGGGACGACACGGGGTGAGATGGTTGGATGGCATCACTGACTCAATGGACATAAGTTTGAGCAAACTGCAGGAGATGGTGAAGCACAGGGTACCCTGGTGTGCTGCAGTCCATGGGGTTGCAAAGAGTCAGACACGACTGAGTGACTGGACAACAACTAAAAAGAGCTTGTCAGACAGTTCCCGAAGTTCCTTACAACAGAAGAGGGAAAGCACAGGGTTTGGCGACGGACAGTAAGTGAGCCAAGGCAGGATGAGTGGGGATATAAACAAATATCTGTGAAGTGCCTACTATGCAACAGGAAGTGTCCTATGCAAGCAAGGGCTGTCTATGATAGTACAGGCTAGATAGGGTTGAGTTGCATGGCAGGAGATGTCTAGGAGGTCCAGGTGGGCTTCCTGGAGGAGGCATCATTTGTTTTGGGCCCTGGTGGGAGGGTGAACCTCCCAAAGCCACTGAGAGGTGGGGAGAGGAGTGCATCCCAGGCTGAGGCACAGCTAGGGTAAAGTCAGTGAGACACGTGTGAACATGTTCTGGGAACGGCTAGAAATCAGTGCAGCTGGAATAGGGGGGCTTCCTCGGGGTAGAGGACGATGGGGCTAAAGAAGAAGGTTGGATCCAAATTGTGCAAAACGGCTAAGTGCAGAAAAAAGTCTAAGAGGAGTCGGAGTCAGCCAGACTGGGGTCTGAGATGGAGCTTCGCCTGTGACTGCTGAGGGCCTCTGGGTAAACCGCTTTCCCAGGCTTTGCTCTCTCATCCGTAATCTGAGGCATGTGTTACCTGCCCACGGCTTAGCGGGCATCACGCGAGAATGTGCTGAGGCTCTGTCGGTGCACGAGACGCCTCTCTCCCGAGGCAGCAGTGACCCGGAAGGGAGCGACAGCATCCTTCGACGTGAGCGTCTGCAGCCCCGAGCTGCAGCATCGGGACCGAGCTCCTGGTGACCCAGCCTCAGCTGCTCTGGAAAGCAGAGGCACCACCGCCCGCGCCACCCTCCTGAAAGCAGGAATCGTGATGATGGCAAAGGGTGAAGTCTGACATAGCCTTAGCCTGCCTGGGAGTATCTGTGTGTGTCTGTGTGCAAGAGCATATGTGGAAGCCTGAGTGTGCAGGTGTGAGCGTGTGCATACTTGTGCTCAGGTATTGTAAACCCCCCTTAAAAATGCAGCTGTCATTACAATGAATGCCTAGTCTACAGCTGTACCAGCTTCCTCATCTATCTTGTGAATGCTTTCCTTACGTCTGTTCAAGCAAAAAGGTCGTTCCTTACGAAATGAAGCCTAATTCTAACCGTCATGCCTGCAGGGGATGGGAAGACTCTTGGCTTAATCCAAAAATGTGAGCCCCCGAGACTCCTTGTACCAGGTTTCTGAGCAGGAACTGAGAGGTGGGGAGTGAGAGCACAGGAGACATGTGAGAGACAGCTGCTTTCCTGCAGGATCTCATGCTCTCTCTGGCCAGGGGGGTGTTTGTGAATCAAACCCGGACACGGGGACAAGGCTGTCTGGATGCTCCAGTGGGAGCGAGCCAGGGCTGGACGTCCCTACCATCACAAAACACAGCCGCTGAGCTTCTCTCGGGGGGTGAGGGCAGCATCCTCTCCCCCTCATTAGCACAGTTTGGTTCCCGGGCCCGACAGTGCTGTGGAGCATCCGCTGGTCACGGGGATACTCCTGGGCTAGGGACTCGGGAGCCGGGGATGAGGCACGCAGCAAGCGAGAGCAAACACGAGAGAGACCAGGAGAACCAGGAACGCTGCGCTGAAACCGTGCTGAGGAGGGCAGGGCATCTCAGGGAGACACACCATACGGTACAAAATTAACTTATGGCCTGAACTTCCCGTTTGACTTGGAGTGCTTTCAAAGGAAGGATAAGCCCCATGGCTGCGTTCATTGTTATGACCTATTTTCCACGTTGCACTTCGTTCCCTCCATTAAAGAGCTGTTTCCTCTTTAATCCCCCTGTCTACTGGGATCTCCAGGCCTTTCTGTCTCCTTATCTGTCCCCCTTCGAGACTCAAATGAAGAAGGATGACTTGTTTGCTTCCTCCCTCTTTTCTCTCTTCCAGGACGGAGCTCTCCCTGCCTGCCCATTTTTGATCAGCCCTTTTTGAAGCAAAGCAGGATGTTCCTTCTCTGCTTTTTCTCTGCAGGACTGTAATCTGCTGGGCTCTAATTAATGCGTCCCCCAGGACGCTTGACTTTTCCTCCACATTCCTAGCTCTGAATGTATTCTTGGGTCACACCATATTTCACTTGATTTTTAATCCCTATTTTCTTTCTCAAACTCTCCCGGGCTGGTGCTACTCCAGTTGCGTCTGTATCCCCCCTCGCAACTGATTCTTCCGCCAGGGAGCAGTTGATCGAATACAGATTTGTCTCCGGTCTGATTCTCCCCTCGCAAGATCACAGAGTCGACTGCATAACTCCGGAATTTCTCTGTTGACGCACGGTCTGCTGCTTTAGAAGTACCAGCACGGAGATATGGGAAGCTGACATTCTCCGCAGGACCATCCCCACGCAGGGAGCTCCGTCAGGCTTCCCACCCGGCCTTGGGGGTCGACCCCAGACTATGCAACACTTGCTCCCCGACTTTCCCCAAAACCCTGGCCACAAGTATTTCACAGGATCCCTCTGCCAAACTGTGGTCTGTGCCAGGTACCCGGGAGGGAACGATCTCCAGGTGCCAGAGACAGGAGGTGGGCCACCGAGACTCAGACCCTCTGGGGAACCTCGTCCGAGAAATGGACCCCTCTGTGTGGGGCCCTGATAGTTACCTGCACCTTTGCGAGGGGGCCCGGGATGAAGGATGCAGAACAAAGAGGCAGCAGCAGGGCCACGCACAGAGGGTGGACCTGTCCTACTTAAGTATTACTCAGGATGCTCTGTCTACCCAGTCCTTCATCTTCGTGATTTAAAGCCAGTGAGCTAATATCACTGGTTTGGCCACACCTGTACTCAGCTCACCTGCATCTGCGCTCTGTCAGTCGCTCGTCTTGTCTCCTAGTGAGAAGAGGCCCTTTTCATTTTTACGAAGCAAGCAGTTGAAATGCAGATACCTAATGTCCTATTTTTTTTAACACCAGGAATTGTTTAGCATGGAGCCACATGGACAAAAGACAGTCCCCAAATCCTTGGATGCTGAAACGCAGCCAAGGTGCAGGCCTGAGGATGACCTTGAAAGAGGGGCAGCCAAGGAAGGAAGGCTGCGGGGGGCGCGGGGTGGGGGCAGACAGGGGTGGTCCTGACGGGGTGGGGGGCATGGGGCTCTCAAGCTGTCACGTGAGGACTCCTGGGTCCTGCGGAGGCAAGGCCCACCTACCACGTTAGTGCTTTAGAGCGACTCAAGAAGCGGGGTGGTCTTAGCTGTGCTTAAGAGCAGAGTTGTCACCATCAAGGTCACTTACCTGAGACCAGAACAAGTACTGAGACTGACCGTCGAACCGGAAGAACCTTGCACGTGCCCATGGTAGTAACAGTGACCCTGAAAAGACGAGACAGCCGTTCAGTCTCGATGCCATCCTGCCCACTCACCATAAACCCACCATCTCCAACCACCTTGCTTTCAGCAACAGAATTCCCTCTGGCATAAGATACTGAATCAGCAGTCTGAATGTTTCATGCCAGCCCCATGTGACCCAGCCAGGATCCATGGCAGGAATATCTGATTTGCTTAAGAGATTATCGGTAGGGTCGTTAATCGCATTCTGGTTTCATTTTCATCTCTCTGAAACCCTTCAGGAAAACCCTGATGCAGAAGGTTTGACACAGTCCAGCAGCTGAACAAATCACATGGCCATTGCCATTTTCCACTCACGTAAATTGTCTTTTGTAATGAGACGAGGAACCGTATGGGGTATTTAAGCACACTGTGAGATGCAATAAAGTGAGGCCTAAATCTATGCTTAGGAAAACAGAAAAGGAGATGGGACGAAGGAGGGGTGAGGAGAGAGAGAGGGTTCCTGGACGAATTGCCCAACTGGGAGCAGAAAAGCTCTCTTAGCAGGAGAGAAAAATAGGAAGGTCTTCTAAGGCAAAAATCCCTGGGTGACGTGCCTGCAAGATTCCATTTCTTTAATCATGTCACTTGCAAAAAGAAATCACAGCATGGACACCTCCTTAGTGAAGACAGATACCTGTCGGAATCAAGGTTAATTTTATCGTTGAACAAAGGTCACGTTGCAGCCCCAATTAAGTGGCTGGCTGGCTAAGTGCACTCAGCGCTCCTCATTGAAGGCATCCAAAAGTCAGAGGCATGTGGTCCCCAGCAGTGGGCTGCATCTTCCAAGGGGTAGGGGAAGTGGGCACTGGAGTTTCACCCTCACCACACAGCTCCTTCAGTCAGGACTCAGTTTTCCAGGGCAGGGCTGGGTATCCCGTTGTCCTGCCTGATAGAGACACGTTCTAAAGACCACCTCGACTATGCTAAGAAAGGGGGCTGGAGGAGACTGAGTGGCCAGAGAAATCCGATGATACCGTGAGAAAGGGGCCACGATGATCTCTTTGTCAGTGAAGCGAGGACAAAATTTGGGGATCATCTGACAGGCAGTTGGAGGAAGGAGATGGGAGTGCTGCAAAACCTTTGTTCTTTGGACTTTCTCTTGTTGATTCTGGAAGTCCAGTACATAGTCAGGATACTAACACTTTGCCTGTTACTATATGAAAAACATCTTTTTACCTGACTTACGGTGTCTTTTGCTGTACAGACTTTCCAGTTCTCCTAAAGTCAAATTGATACACCTTGGGCATTACTTTAGATGGCTTTCTTCAAGGTTATACAGATGTCCTCTCTTGTTTTCTTCTATTTCTATAGTCTGAGGATTAGCTCTTTAAAGTGGAATTTATTCTTGCGTAGGTAAGAGGTTGAAATCTAACTTGCCCCATGAACCAAAGGCCAGCTGTCTTTCACCACCACGTTCCTTTCCTTAGTCCCCTCGTGTATTGAATAACCACACGTGTATCTGGCTCCGCCTCTGTTCCGTGCGCTAGTCCACTGAGGCAGGCCCCTCTCAGTCCATTCCTGAGCCGACACCACACTGCTTTAATTCCTATTTTTCTATAGGAACACTTTGATATCAGAGCAAGTTCTCTCGATTGTGATTCCTTTCACGTACCATGAAACCCCCCTTTTAAAAGCATGCTATTACGGGCATTAGGACCTTCTCAGTCTTGTGCCACCATCACCTATAATTCCAAAACATTTTCATCATCCACAGAAACCTCACACCCATCAGCAGTCACTTTCCATTACGCCCCACCCCCAGCAACCACTAAACTACTTCCTGTCTCTATGAATTTGCCTCTTCTGTTCATTTCATGTAAGTGGAACTGTACATAATGCAGCCTTTTGTGTTTGACTTCCTTCACTTAGCATAATGTTATCAAGGTCCATTCATGCTGTAGCGATAAGTGAGTATTGGTACTTCATTCCTTTTCATTGCTGAATAAAATGACATTGTGCACTTAGTCCTGTCCGACTCTTTGTGACCCCACGGACTGTAGCCCGCCAAGCTTCTCTGTCCATGGGATTTCCCAGGCAAGAATCCTAGGGTAGGATGCCATTTCCTCCTCCAGGGAATCTTCCTGACCCAGGGATTGAACTCAAGTCTTCAGCATTGGTAGGCGGATTTTTTCTCCCACTGAGCCACCTGGGAAGCCTAAACTGACGTTGTAGGGATATACCAAATTTTGTTTTCCCATTCAACACTTGATGGGAATTTGGGCTGTTTCCACTTTCTGGCTATTTTGAATAGTGCTGCCATGAACATGTGCCTACAAGATTTTGTGTGGACATGTTTTTTGGTTCTCTTGGGTATATACTGTGGTAGGTATATGGTTATAAATGGGTAGGTGGGATTGCTAGATTTTATGGTGACTCCCAACATTCCGAAGCACTGCTAAATTTTTTTCCAAGCAGCTGAACCATTCTACATTCTCAGTGTGTGGGAGGAATGTGCAAACTTCACATCCTTGCCCACACATGTTATTGTCTACGCTGTTGATTACACCCGTCCTAGTGTATGTGAAGTAGTATCTCTCTGTGGTTTTGCTTTTCATAATGACTTGAGATGTTGATCATCCTTTTTTGGCTGTGCTGCATGGCATGCGGGATCCTGGTTCCCCAACCAGGGATAGAACCCGCACGCCCCATACTGGGAGCTTGGAGTCCTAGCCCCTGGACTGCCAGGGAGGTCCCCAAACATCCTTTCCTATGCTTATGGGCCATTGGTGTATCTTCTCTGGAGAAATGTCTATCAAATCCTTTCCCTGCGTCTTAACTGCGTTTCTGTCTCTTCATTGTTGAGCTGAAAGAGTTCTTTCCATAACCTGGACACGAGACCTTACATGATTTGAAAATATTTTCTCCCACTTTGTGTGTTGCTTTCTCACTTTCTTGATGTATTTTGAAGCACAAAAGCCGATCACTTTGATGAGGTCCAAACTCTCTATTTTTTAATTTATTTGCTTATGCTTTAGGTCCCATATCTGAGAGACCCTTACCCAACCTAAGGTAATGAAGACTTACACCTATTTTTAAGACTTCTGCAGGTTGAGCTCTTACATTTAGATCTTTGATTCACTTTGAATTAATTTTCATAAATGCTTAAAGTGGGGGTCCATTTTCATTCTTCTGCATGTGGGTGTCCAGGTTCCCTGAACCATTTGTTAGAAATCTATTACTTCCCTAATTTGTCTTGGCAATCTTGCTGAGAGTGAGTTTTCTTTTGATCCTATTTTTCTTCAAAAGTTTCTACACTATTATAGCCTATTTCCTCTCTCAGGTGAATTTTGGAATCAAACTTTAAGATCTGCAATAACCCTTTGAGTTTTCAGCTTGGTTACTTAGAATGTATAGGTCGGTTAGTCAGGATTTGTAGTTTTCAAATAATGAGATTTTCTATTCACATACATGGTATTTCTCTTCATACAATAAAGCCATTTTTGCATCCTTTGGTCTAGTTTTAGATTTTTGGGGGGATGGCTTTGGGAAGTTTTCATTAGGTTTATGTCTAGGTATTGCATAGATTTGCTGATATTACGAATAGGATCTTTTTTCTGTTTCATCTTACGCGTGGTTATTTTAGTGAAAAGGAAAGCTTTTTTATTTTTTAAAGTCGATCTTGTAGCAGACATTGTTGTTGGGCCATCTTATCAGCTTAATAGTTTGTGGCATATTTTGGATTTTTTATATTGTTGATTAAACCTACTGCAAACAATGAAAGCTTTGGGGGGCTCCTTTTTGACCCCCATACAATGTAGAGGAGTGGGGTGCCTAGTGTCCAGGGACAGAGGTGGGAGGGGGAACCACCCAGAGGGAAAGCATATGTACAAAGATGGGTGATGGGGGAGGAGGACGTTCAGGGAGGGGCCGCATCTGCTTGGCTAGAGGATTCAGGCACAGACGTAGACTCACTGCCCTTCTCCTCCCCCTGGCAAGAGCATCCTTTTCAACCAGCACGTGGCTCAGGAAGGGGTGCGCGAAGGCCAGTGATGGGGGACCCTGCATCCAGCCAGGCCACAGGCATCCAAACAGCCCACGGGGGATCCCTGCTGCCAGTCTGCCTCTTCAGTTTCCATGGCAAGTACGTTTTAAAAGGCTCCATGGACCCCTGCCCCTCCAGGTAACTCTAGCTTTGGGCAGAGTTGGGAGTCATAACAATTCTATAAACATGGGGAGGTTGTGCCACTGGATTGCGGTGCCCCAGGGCATCAGGGGGTGTGGTCCCCTCTGCACAGGGTTGGGGGCTCAGTCTTGGAACCCAGCAGGGAAAAGTGCCGGCAGCGTCACACGGGGCAGCAGTGTCCACTCAGCAAGGGCTCCAGGTGAGTGTGCGTCCCCACATCCGAGCGCCAGGTTGCCTCCCTTGGACTGATGCCAAGGGGCAGGAACCAGCCAGGCCTCGTAGATTTGCAAACGCACGGCCTGTTGGACCTGGATGTGGACACGCCCATGAGGGACAGAGGCACCCGTCATGCTTTGTAGGTGCCCCCAGGCCTGCTGGTTCAGTTGATCACAATCACCCCTGCAAACCTGCCATTCAGTTGCCTCCAGAGAGTCAAACTGTGTGTCTCTTTCTTTCTATCACACTCATGTCTCTAAAGAACAAGACATCATCCTGTTTGCATAGTCGTCTTGGCCTAGTTCTGCTGATCCCATACATTCTCTTTCTACCAACAAAACATAACACAGAAAATAGTCCCAAACATGCATAACCACAAAATTACATCTTTTCCTCTATAAAACCTCTAACCATGTATTTTATATACTTATTACTTAACCTAATGCATTTCCCCCCTCCAGTAAAATAAATCCTCCTTCTGTTTAATACTATCAATCAAATATAATAGCGGGGAGGAGGAATAAGAATAAGAACCCCTGAGCTTGAAAACAGTAGCCCTCAACTCTATGTCGTATGGGAAGTAAAATAAAAATTCTGTTACCCAACTCTCAGCGGACTAGAGAGAAAGGAATTTTATCTGCTA